GGGGGGGCTGTGGGGCGCTGGTTGGGGGGCCCCTGGCTGGCGCTCCCGCTGCCACGTCGTGGCCAGCGCCAGCCACGCCTTCTCCTTCGTGGGGGGCCGCTTGCATGCGTTTTGCATGCAGTCGGGGCTGCATGCAAGGGAGCTGTTTTTGGGGCTTTCTCCGCAGCAAGCAGCAGCAGCAGCAAGTCCCATGCCCATAGACGTGTGTCACCGCAACAACCAGTTCGCCTTCATCACCAAACTCGGGGCCTCCTTCTTCGACAGCGAGACGCTGCAGCCCCTCTTCTCGCTGCAGCACCTCGACACTCTCCCGCTGCTGCTGCTGCAGCACCGGCAGCAGCAGCAGCGCAGCGCCTGGGCAGCAGGCAGCAGAGTCGAGGGGCCCCCCATTCAGGCTGAGGACTGCTTCGACTTCTGCTGGGCGGGAGCGGCCTGCAGCGGCAGGCCCCTCCACAGGCCCGCGCAGCAAAACCAGCAGCAGCAGCAGCAGCAGCAGCAGCAGCGGCAGCAGCAGCAGCAGCAGCAGCAAGCCAGCATCCCTGGGGCCCTGCAGAGCGGCTCCTGCGGCTGCTTCTGCCACATGAACGGCGCAGAGAGAAACGCGGAGTCCTGCAAGGCCCGCGGCTGCTGGGACGGGTGGAGCAGCAGCAGCTGCAGCAACGCCAGCAGCAGCAGCGGCCACTGCTGCAGCAGCAGCTGCAGCAGCAACACTGTGGGGCTGTTTGCTTCACGCCGCTGCAGCGACACCGAAATGCGCTGCAGCATTCAGTGCTGCAGGCTGCGCTGCCGGCACATAGTGACTTGGCACGCGGGCAAGAGTCGTCTGCTGCTGGTGTGGGCTGCTGCTGCTGTGGCGCCTGCTGCTGCTGTCACGCCTGCTGCTGCTGCTGCTGCTGCAGCGGGGGGCGGCGCCCACGCCTGCAGCCGCCTGCTGTACACTCTCCGCGGCCACGAACGGCCCCTGCTGCGGGTCCGGCAGCAAACAGATTGGAGAGATATGCATGAGTACTTTATAGCTTCTTTGGATGCTGGTGGCACAGTAAGGGTGTGGCACTCTGCTGCTTTCCCCCCCAAGGAAACAGCAGCAGCAGCAGCTGCTGCTGCTGCAGCAAGGGCCGCGGAAAACGACCCGGAGGTCGCCGCGGCGTGGCAGCAGCGGCTGCAGGAGCTGGAGATGCAGCAGCAGCAGCAGCAGCTGCGCAGGCTGCAGCAGCAGCAGCAGCAGCAGCACCAGGGCGGGTCCTGGGGCGAATTGCAACTCAGCAGCAGGGCCTCCTCCGTGGCAGAAGAAGCAGAAGATGCAGCAGCAGATGCTGCTGCAGTCGGGTGTATAGCCATCATACCTTCCATGGACTCTTACTGGATATACCGCATTTCTCTTTCTTCTCACGGGCTGCTGACACTCTGCCGCCCCACGCAGCAGCTGCCGCAGCAGCAGCAGCAGCAGCAGCTGCTGCTGCTGTGGGCGCTGCACGCGCCCTCCATCTCCTCCATGCGCGCGAAGCGCCACAGGACGCCGCAGCAGCAGCAGCAGCAGCAGCAGCAGCAGCAGCAGCGCGAACAATGCTCCAATGACCCCCACGCCCTTTGGCAGCAAATGCTGTCTTCCTGGCAGCGCAGCAGCAAATACTCAGAGCCCTGCAGCTTCATGCGCAAAGTGGCTTTTGTCCTGCGCGAGAGACGCGCTGAGGCTGCTGCTGCTGCTGCTGCTGCTGCTGCTGCTGCGGTTCGTGCTGCAGGCCCAGCTGCTGCTGCTGCTGCTGAAGATACTTTTGATGCTGCAGCACTTTCGCCGCCGCGCAGCAAAAGGGCCTCGAGACCCACCAGCTCTGCCTCTCCAGCGCCTGCTGCCGGCGATTCTGCTGCTGCTGTCGCTGCGGCAGCAGCTGCTGCTGCTCCACAAGCGGCAGCAGCTGCTGCTACTTCTGGTGCGCTGCAAGCGGCCAACGCAAGTGCTGCTTTCCCGATGTCTGGCATGTTTGCTGCTGCAGCAGCAGTAGCAACAGCTGCTGCTGCTGCTGCTGCCGCTTTTTTTGAGCCAGCAGGGCCAGCGGCGGGAACAGTCGCTGCTGTCCCACCAACTGCTGCAGCAGCTGCTGCTGCATCTGGCCCAGCTGCAAGAACAAACCCCGCGGTAGCTTCAAGCGGCGCAGCAGCAGCAGCAACAGCAGCAGCAGCAGCAGCAGCTGACTCCAGTAGAGAGAGCAGCACCAGCTCTGTCAGTGCAGCAGACGACGCGTTCCTGCTGCTCGGCGAGCACCAGGAGACCAAACCCAGCAGCAGCAGCAGCAGCAGCAGCAGCAGCGGCAGCAGCAGCGGCCACGCAGCAGGCCTGTCAACTGTGCAGTCGCTCACTACGGAAGCTGAATCCAGCAGACGCAGCTCTGTCGAGACAGAAGAAGGGGCTGGCGGCGGAAGCAGCAGCGGGAACAGAAGCAGCAGCAGCAACAATGAAGACAGCAGCAGCAGCAGCAGCAGCTGTTGCCTCGATGGTACGAATTCGCTACTACGTGGCATTTCGGGTGTCAGTGAGCCTACCAGCGCCTCTGGTGGCAGCAGCAGCAGCAGCAGCAGCAGCAGTGGCAGAAGCAGCACCGACCGGGGAAGCCCCTTGGAGAGAGCCGAGAGCAGCAGTTCTGCTCTCCCCAGCTGCAACAGCAGCAGCAGCAGCAGCAGCAGCAGCGACAGCAGCAGCAGCAGCAGCAGCAGCAGCAAGTGGGGCGTGCGCACGCTGGAAGTGTCTGGGGCCTACACACTTCCCAACAGCGCCTTCTTCGCAGAGTTCAGCGCCAGGGGCCTCATTTCTGTCTTATGTGGAGAAGACGAGGGGGGCCCCAGTGGGGCCCCCGAGGGCCCCTGGGGCCCCGGGGGCTTTCCCCCAAGAGTTCCCCGCTACAACCCTTTTAAGCGGAGTCTTTCGGACTGGTTGGTGTTTGACTTGGACAGGCTGAAGCGGGAAGAAGCAGCAGCAGCAGCAGCAGCTGCTGCTGCTGCTGCTGCTGCTGCTGCTGCGGACGCGGGCTCGAGCCGGCCGCTGCAGGATGAGATCGATGAAGCTGCAACTGCTGCTGCTGCTGTTGAACTCTACAATGAGGCAGCAATGGCCCGCAGAAAGGCCCGCGGCTGCTGCTGGCCGGACTGCAGCAGCCGCGCAGCAGCAATAGATGAAGCCGACTTGCCAATTCAGGCCTTTTACGAGCCAGCAGCAGCAGAGTGGCGGCTGCAGCAGCAGCAACGAGCAGCAGAAGAAGCAAGGAAGAGAGAAGCTGTCAAGGCGTACAGGAAAGTCGTGCTGCGCTGGATAGAAAAACAAAGGAGGAGGAGGTACGCTGCAGCAGAAGCAGCAGCAATAGCAGCAGCAGCAGCAGCAGCGGCTTCTGAAAGGCAAAAGAAACAGCAACTAGCAGCCAGCCAGCCTTCAAGCGCCGAAGCTGGTGCGCCTCGAGGCGACGCCAGCAGCAGCAGCAGCAGCAGCAGCAGCAGCAGCAGCAGCAGCAGCAGCTTTGGCAGTGGCAGCAGCAGCAGCAGTGAGGACAGCGGACGAACCGCCTGTCCTAGGACTGGCGATGCGGGCAGAGCCAGCAGCAGTGCTACCACTCCCACCGCCAGCAGCAGCAGCAGCAGCAGCAGCAGCAATAACAGCAGCAGCAGCAGCAGCAGCAGCGCGGGTCCTTATCCGTGGTGGCCTTCGTCCGTGGTTACTCAGGAGCTGAAGCCGCTGTCCAGTGTGGTTTGGCTGCGGGAAAAGGCAAATGCCTGGGCCCTCATAGACTGGAAAGTGGCGCAGATAGACTCTAAAGGAACTTTAGTGATTCTTGACTTTGCACACCCCGACGCCTCCCCGCTGTGCCCCCTGGCGTTTCTTTGATTAGTTCATTTATTAATCAAGACTCTGCCGTTTATGTCAGAAAGTTCTTTTCCTTTTTGCTGCACTCACTTGGCTGCTCGGCGGGCCTTTTGAACCGCCGGGTCTTCAAGTCATTTGCAAAACGGGGCCAGCTGCTGCTGCTGCTGCTCTAGGGGCCTCCAAAGCCTCCAAGGGCCCCCTGGGGGGCCCTCGGGGGCCCCCAAAGGCATCTCTTTGCCTGGCGGGGTCAAATTTTCAAGCTTATTTCAAACAAACAGGGGGCCCCGAACGCTGCAGGGAAAGCGCGGCTGCTGCTGCCTCTGCTGCTTCTGGTTATTGTCTGTAGCACGTTTTAAGGTATTTGGCTTTACAGACTGAACGTTTACAAATAAATGTCTGCATTTATATTTACATTTGTGGCATCCACACTCAAGCACTCAATGCCTAACCGGCATATGCAAGTCTGTTTCCACTGATCTGTACAGAACGTTCATATTAATTGTAAGGCAACAACGATTTGCTGCAGCCACTTTAAAATAAAGACAAATAATTAATAAAGTTCTCCGGTTTTGTTGCAGCTTCCTCGGAAAATTGATCTGTTTACTGATCAGCAGGATTTCGATGAGCAAAGCGAGGAAATTGCACAAGAGGAAGCTGATGGCAGCAGCCCAGAACTTTCTAAAGAGTCCTCGCCACTGTCTTTAAAACTCTCAACAACTCTGCTGCCGAGAACTTCGGCATAAAGCCCTTTTTGGCTACGAGGAGTGCAGGAAGTTGGTGTCTTGAAGGGAATGTTGAATGCAGTAGTGTCTGTGCAGATTCGAGTGCTTAAGGAGTGCATGCGCATGCAGATCTGCTTCTCCAAACATGTCCAAAGCTGCAGAATCTACCCAGCGTTCAGTGGCAGTTGAAAGCGGCAGTTTGAAACCAGGCCCGGAGGCGACGAACGTAAGCAGCTGCAGCAGCTGCAGCAGCAGCAGCAGCAGCAGCAGCAGCAGCAGCAGCAGCGGGAGGCACTAGGCCTCCCGCTTGCTGTCTTCGGCTTCCGCTGTGTAGTGCAGGAACTCCTGGCCGCCCATGTAAGGCACGAGGGCCCTGGGGACTCGGAGGCCGGTGGGCGTTTGGTAGTTTTCGAGAATGCAGCACAAGCACCTCTGAGTGGCGACGAGAGTGGCGTTGAGAAGATGCACGAAAGGCTTGGCCTCCGCTGCTGCTGCTGCTGCTGCTGCTGCTGCTGCTGCTGCTGGTTCCTTCTTGTGGCCGAGCCTGATCTCGAACTCCCGCGCCTGGTAGTCCGTGCAGTTGCTGCAACTCACCAACTCCCGGTACGCCCCGTAGCCCCGGGAAACCAGCCCTCCAAGTCATACTTTTTGGCCGCCGCGTCATTAAGAGCCCCCGAAACGACAGCCACTACTCTGTAAGGCAGCTCGAGACTCTGGTAGAACTCCTCAGCCGTGGCCAACATCTCCTCGTGCAACTCCCAAGACTGAGACGGAGCCGCCACGCAGAACTGCTCCACCTTCTCGAACTGGTGCACGCGGAAGAGCCCCCAGCAGTCCTTGCCGTGGGCCCCCGCCTCCTTGCGAAAGCAAGTGCTGCTGCCTGCGTAGCGCAGCGGCAGCAGCTTCTCCTCCAGCCGCTCGCGCCAGTGCAGCGCGCACAGCGGCTGCTCGCTCGTCGCTATCAGGAACATGTCGTCCCGCTCCGCCTCCTGCTGCTGCTGCTGCTGCTGCTGCTGCTGCTGCTGCTGCTGCTGCTGGGCGCTGCTGGCGTCGTGGGGGATGCGGTAGAGCGTTTCCTCGAAGTCCTTCAGCTCCGCAGCCGCGGCCATCACCGGCTTCCGGATGAAGTACGGCGGCTGCACCGGCAGGTAGCCCTTCTTCGCCAAAAAACTCAGCCCGTATTGAATTAAAGCATAATTCAACATTACTGCGGGCCCCTTGAGGTAGTAGCCCCTGTGGCCAGCGACTTCGACTCCCTTCTTGAAGTCCGCGCCCTGCAGCCGCGCGAGCACCTCGTGGTGGTGCATGCGCCCGGGACTTCCGTCGATCTTCACTTTATTTGGAGTCCCCCAAGTCCTCACAACTTTGTTTTCTGCTTCGTCGCTGCTCACGGGGACGGAGTCGTGCACGAGGTTGCCGATTCCCCGCAGCAGCCGGTCTCGGGTCTGCGCGGCGGCCGCCGCCTCCGCCTCCAGCGACTGCAGCTTTCCCTTTATTTCCGCAGTCTTCGCCACCAGTTCTTCGCAAGAGTCCTTCGAGTTCGCCTTTTTGCGCTGCCCGATCTCCTTGTTCACCGCGTTCAAGTCCTTGCGGCCCTGCTCCAGCGCGAACGTCGCCTCGCGCCACCGCTTGTCCGCTGCCACCAGCTGATCCACCCGCGAAGGGTCCCTCCCTCGCCGTCTTTCGCTCTCCGCCACCTTCGCAGGGCAGCCGCCCTTCTCCTCCCGCAGGAGATTTATGTCGATCGTCATCGCCTGCGCACACACAGCCCGCAGCCGCAGCGCCAGCCTCCAGTTCAAGTTGCCCGCAGCGGCGCCGCTGCTGCGCAGCCCCCACTCAGACGGCTTTCAAATTTGTTCTCCGCTAAAAATGAAGTCGTGCTGGGCCCAGAAACGCAGAAACTGAGGCGCTGCAGCTGGCGAACTGGCGGTGTAAAACTGGCGGGACCCGGACCACTGGGAGTGACGCAGTCCACAGTTCCCGCCCGCGCCTTCGGGCGTTCCCGCGAAGACTTACGGTAATAAGACAAGAAAAAAGAACAGCTTATTGCTTCACAGCAAACAAGGAGCAGAACATGCAGTTGTGTTCATGCTGGGTACACGCATGCACAGCGTTCCAGCGGGGGGTGGCTGCAGCAGCACCCCACAGGCAAACAGCTGAAACACCCAAGCCTAGCCAGACACAAAGTATTGGAAAGCAGTTCAAATGTAACCGCGGAAAAATGCAACAAGTTAGTGAAAGGAAAAGACGCAATAGCGCACCTGGCTGCAAGGAGCTGCAGACGGGCCCCGTTCACTTCGTCGCCGTTTCAGATCAGGCGGGAGTGGGTTCCCGAAACGCTGGAATCTCCCGCTCTAAAGCGACTAGTGAGCCACTTTCAATTTAAAATATGAATTATCAAATTACACTTCTTTAAATTATGAAACAGTGCGCGAAAATCTGACAAGCGAACTCTTACGGCACACGGGGCTGGTGTTGTTTGAATTGGCATTGCGACAACACTGCTGCAGCCCCCCCCACAGCGCTATCGATCACAGCGGTCCCCTGCGCCAGTATTTTTTCTGTTATTCTTTGCATTCAATAATTTTGCTTCGCCATATTAGACGAAGATGAAGGTTTATAAATGCGTCTTCTCTGGCGACGAGCTCTGCTCGGATTCCTACCCTCATCTGGTGCCGTTCGGTGATGACGCGTTCAAGGACGGTACGTGCTCAATTTCCAGTTTTTTTTCTTTCCCGCTGAAGATTTAGGTGAAATTCATGTTTATGTTGCATATAAAGTGGGTACAGATCTGAAAGAGGGAGTGCTGGGGACCGGCAACGGGCAGACAGAACGCAGAAGATACCCCAGGCAGCCCCAGGCCAGCCGTCAAACGAGAGGCCCCAGCACGCGGCGCGTCGCACTCTATAGTTATTTTTTTCAATATTTATAATTCTTTTGTGATGTCTGTCCTTGTTTGGGAGGTGTCTGGGGAAGCTGAGGGGTGAAGTGCTGTAAATGGTCCTCCATATTTTCCTGCATGGAGCCGCTGCGCCTTGCGTTGGCTGTGTGCAGTCGCCTTTGAGGTGAAGGGAACCCGCGTCACGAAGGCAGCGGAGGACTTCGGCATTGCGGACAACAGGTGGGCGATCTTGAATGAATTAGAATTATTTAATTCAAAATTAATAAATTAGTTGAAGCTCTGTGAACAGATAGTGAAATTTCCAGATCCAAACTGCACTTTGCACGCGCAGCTGCTGCAGTTCAAGTTTTCTGCTTTCGTGCGCTGCAGCGAGGAAGGCGAGGGCGGAGTCGAAGATGCTGCGGAAACAGTTATAGATATAATAAATGCCTTTCACTTGAGCGAAACTTCTTTGACAAAAAAGGACTTCACGACTTACATCAAAGGCTATTTGAAACGCGTCATGGACTACCTGCAGGAGCACAACCCCTCTCGCGTCGAGGCTTTCAAGACTGAGTCCGCAGCTCTCGTGAAGAAAATCCTCGGCAGTTTCGACGATTTCCAATTCTTTATGTCCGAGAGCAACGACTTCGAGGCCTCTCTGGTCTACGCGTACTACAAAGACGAGGAAACGGCCCCCCGATTCATATATTTGAAAGACGGGCTCAAGGAAGAGAAGTACTAAGCCCCGGGGGCCCCAGGGGGCCCCCGGGGGGCCCCAGAAACCCCTGGCTTCGCCAGCTGCTAGCATATCCTTAGCATAGACAAACGGCAGCAGCGCGCTGCTGGTTTTGCCGCGTTTGTAGGCCGAAAAGGGTGCAGAGTTGGCGGCCGAGCGCCGTGCATGCGCTTAGTGTCCAGGTGTACGTACACCTCAGAGCCAGGGGCTCCTTAGTTAGGAAACAGCCCCTCCAGAACGCTCCTTTAGGCCTCTAGCTGCCCCGCAAGGCGCTGCGGCTCTTCTTGAACTCAGACTCCGCTTCAAACCGAAAGATCTGCACACTTGCGGAGATGCATGCGCGGCATGCGCAGTGCCAGGTGTCTAGACACTCCAGCAGGCCGCCTCCAGTGCAGCAAATCAGTGGCAGCTCCGCAGCGCTTGCTGCGCTGCTGCTGCATGCGGGCCGGCTAGTGGGGCTGCGTGCATGCAGCAGCAGCAGCAGCTGCAGAACTTTGAGTTTCGCCTAGGGTTGTTTTATTTGTTTAATGGGTTTTGTAGGGCCCTGCTGCAGCTGCGCATTGCTGCCTGTGGCTGTGCGTCTGCTGCATTGAGAGGAGGCAGCAGCAGCAGCAGCAGCAGCAGTTGCTGCTGCTCCTTGTAGCTCAACAAAAGCCCCTTTTCTACCCCGTAGCAGCCAAAGGGGGGTCTTATAATGTGAGTCAGAGCTGCCAAGAGGGGCTGCTTTGAAAGATTTGCTGCTGCTGCAGCAGGTGCCCCAAGCAGCAAACTAAAGCAAGCACTGTGGGGCCCTGCAGCACGCAGGCTGCGCCTGTCTCGGGCCCTGCCGGCTTAGGCTCTAGCTGCTTCGGTGCGCGGCCGCTGCAGCAGCTGCTGCGGCTGCTGCAGCTGCTGCGGCTGCTGCAGCTGCTGCGGCTGCTGCAGCTGCTGCGGCTGCTGCAGCTGCTGCTGCCGTAGCGGCAGCCAATGCTGAGGCGCCTGGAAGAAAGGAACCGCCTCACTAGACCTGCAGCAAGCTGCTGCGGCTGCTGCTGCTACTGCTGCTGCTGCTGCTGCTCTTGCTGCAGCGCTGACTGGCGGCTAGCTGCCGCGACAAGGGAGTGTCCTCTGAATTGGTGCAACGAAGGCTGGACTGCACTTTGGAAGATCTGCTGCTGTCGGGGCTGGCTGCGCTCCAGGTGGCACAAGGAATTGCTGCAAAGGAATCAGCAGACGCAGCAGCAGAGGCAGCAGCAGCAGCAGCAGCAGCAGCAGCAGCAACAGAGCGTAAGGGTTCCACGGATGCCGCATTTAAAGCGGCTCCCGATATGCTGTGCCCTGAAGAGTTCAGAATGGGGATTTCATAGCATCTCGTGCTGGTGAGCTCCGCACTACCTGACTCAGTTCCGTGCTGCTGCTGCTGCTGCTGCTGCTGCTGCTGCTGCTGCTGCTGCCCGTGCTGTTGCTGCTGCCGCTTTGGGGGGAACTGACCTTGAGACTTGGAGGCGTCGTTGCTGCCTTTAACTCTAGAAGATTGGCTGCTGGCTGATATGCCCCAGGAGCCCCAGGTGGCGCACGGAATTGCACCAAAGGTGTCAGCAGTAGCAGCAGCAGCAGCAGCAGCAAAAGCAGCTGCTGGAGCAGCAGCAGCAAGCGCTGTTGATTTGCGAGACACAGATGCTGAGCTGCTGCTGCGACCCAGAGAGCCACGGGCAGCTTCACATTTCTCGCTGGACTGTTGCGTGCTATTTGCTGTTGTCCTAGACCCTCGTTCTTGCTGCTGCTGCTGCTGCTGCTGCTGCTGCTGCACCTGCTGCTCTTTCGACTGTATCTTTGGAGCGAAGACATCTTGCGACTTGGCTGCACGAGAGCCTTCCAGATTTGTAACAGACGAACAGCTCAGGCTTGTTTTTTTGGTGGCGCTGCTGCTGGTGCTGCTGGAGTTCGAGCTGGAAAGACTGCTGCTGCTTCGGCTACTGCTGCTGCTGCTGCTGCTGCTGCTGCTGCTGCTGCCTTTGGAGCTAGCGAGCCCTCTTGCAAGGTGCTCACCGCTGTTGCTCCTGCTGTTGGATTTAGGTAGATTGGTGCTGCAGGGCTTGTTGTTGCTGCTGCTCCTGGAGCTCGAAAGATTAGCATCGCAGCGCCTGCTGTTGCTGCTACGGCTGGAGCTGGCAAGGCTAGCGCTGCAGCGCCTGCTGTTGCTGCTGCTGCTGCTGCTGGAGCTGGAGAGAGCAACGTTGCAGCTTTTGCTGCTCGTGCTGCTCCTGCTGCTGCTACTGCTGCTGCTACTGCTGCTGCTACTGCTGCGGGAGGAAGCTGCGAGACAGCTGGTGGTGTCAAGGGATAAAGCCGAAGACCCCACTGTGCTGCTGGCTCTGTCACCCCCTGGCCGCAGCACGCCGGGGTTGGGAGATTCTCTTGGCCCGAAGCCCATGAGCAGCAGCACGGCGGGGAGTGAGGAATGCAGCTGCTGCTTCCAGAGCCAAATCTGTTCTTTTTGAATTGTTTGGCAGCAAGTGACTCAATGCAGCTGTTCGTACACCGAATCTGTGGCTAGCTGGGAGAAAAGGGGAAGAAATGAAACTAAAAGGGAGCTCAGAGAGCACCGCTAGTGCTCTTAATGAGGAAATAACAGCAAACACAGGAAGCTGGAGTGCCTGGACCGAGCTGGGCCGCACACCTGAATTACACTTAAGCTTGTCAAATGCCCTTTAATCACCTGCAGTAACAATGAAGAACAAATGCTGCTAGTATGCAGCAATGGGAAGCTGCTGCTGCAGCAGTGAGATAGGCAGACAGCTGCTGCTGCTGCTGGGCTGTGGGCCCCAGGTGACCCCAGCAGACGCCTCCGCGGCTCTGCAGCAGAGCTCTCTTTTCCCCATTTCAATACAACAGAATTTTATTTAAACTCTTTGAAGAGGATACAATACCAGATCAATAAATTCCAATTGGAATTCCATCTTTTCAAACGACGAATGCAGCAACAGACCACCAGCAGACGGTTCTATGGTGTAGTGGTTAGCACTGCGGACTCTGAATCCGCCGACCTGGGTTCAAATCCCAGTAGGACCTTCAAATTTTTATAAACATAATTGGACTCTTAATGAGTTTAGTAGACACTTTTGACTGCATTACAAAATAGATCCCACAAAAGAGGTCCTACTGGGATTTGAACCCAGGTCGGCGGATTCAGAGTCCGCAGTGCTAACCACTACACCATAGAACCGTTGAGGAACTGTTGAACAGCTCTAGCGTCAGGCCAATTAATTCTTGAAATGCTCTCTAGCGCTTTGAATTAGGGATTACAGAAGCTTATATTTTGTTTCCTCAATCTTAAAGAGCTTTGTCTCAGTCGCTAGAAGCAACTGAGACGGTCAGTGCGACTTAAAAACCTGCAGCGAAGTTGTGCAGCAAAAAGCACTGCGCGCAAAAGTTAATATGATCTTTCAGCAACCTGTGTCCAGAGGCCCCACTAATGGATCTGTTTGAGCTGAAAGAGGCAGCAGTTAGAGCCTCATGGCAAGCGTTAGTTTGCCTGCTGCAGCAGCTGAGGCTGCTGCTCTCGGTGCTGCTGCTGCGTCGGTAGGAATCAGTTTGTGCAGCATCTGCAAAGGGAAGCAAACAAGTCCAACGAGCATTATTTGAAGGCCCTCTTGGGTCCGCTTCAGCCAGCCAGCTCCTAAGACACTGCAGCAGCACTAGTGCATGTAAAAGAGCAGCTGCAGCAGCACTAGTGCATGTAAAAGAGCAGCTGCAGCAGCACTAGTGCACACAGAAGAGCAGCTGCAGCAGCACTATTGCACACAAAAGAGCAGCTGCAGCAGCACTAGTGCACACACAAGAGCAGCTGCAGCAGCAAAAAAGCACACAGAAGAGCAGCTGCAGCAGCAAAAAAGCAAACCTGAAGCTGCTCGCTGCCTCCCCCGCAAGGAAAGCTGATGCTTTCCACACTTTCTGGGGCCCCCCTGAAGAGGCCATTCCCAAGACAGACCCACGCGGGGCCCTCGACTTCTGTGTTGATCTCCACCATTCGCAGGGCCCCTGCAGTTGCTGCAAAGTGTACATACACCCGAGCCTTTGCTGCTTCAACTCCCCACACCTCCGGGGCCCCGGACTGTCCAGACACCTCCCGCTGCTGCTGCTGTGCTGCTGCTGCTGCGCTGCTGCTGCTGCTGCTGCGGCTTACCGGCATTCTCCTGCTGCAGAACATCAGCCGGTGGCGTCTGCAGGCCCTGAGCAGCCCCACAAACAGCAGCCAAGAGGGGCCTTTTAGCTGCAGGTGTGGGGCCCCACAGCCCCCAGAAATGCCTCAGAGGGGGCCTGCAGCAGCAGCAAAAGCTGCAAAGGGGCCTCGGCTCACCCCCCGGAACAGCAGAGCCTGTGCAGGGCCCCCCCCCTTCAAGTAAACCCGCAAAGGCCGATGGGGGGCCCCCAAAGGCTGCTGCAGAGCTGCTTCTGGCTGCTCCGGAGGGCCCCCTGGGGGCCCCTCGTCCCCCAGCACAAGGGCCAGGGCAACAGAAGTTTCTTTCCTCTCTGCTTCTGTCAGCCTCTTGAGGACCTGCATGCAGCAAAGGGGGCCCCTTGCAAGGCTTAGTGCTGCCTTGGGGTTTTCTTTCTTTTTGCCAACCAAGACTGGGACAAAAAGGACAAAAAAAGATAAAAAGACAAAATGGAAATTCCAAAAAGACAAAACCCACTCTTTCCACTGCAGAGTCAACTGCCCTCTGGGGACTCCGCCGGGCCCGAAGCTCCGCCAGCAGCCACACTGAAAACAGCCACAGCAGCAAAGCCTGCAGCTCTGTAGGCCTCTTGGCCTTTTCTCAGCAAGCAGCAGCAAGAACAGCAGCAGCTGCTGCTGCAGCAGCTGCAGCAGCTGCTGCTGCAGCTGCTGCTGCTGTTCCTGCAGTTGCAGCAGCAGCTGCAGCAGCAGCACCAATGCAAAAATAGTGATCACGGAAGCAGAAGAAAACGCAACGGCAGTAATACGTACAAAGCACAACCGGTAGCAGCAGCAGCAGCAGCAGCAGCAGCAGCAACAGCAGCAGCAGCAGCAGCAAGGCCTGGCTCGCCTGCGAGTTCTGCATGCGGGGCCTCCAGCGACAGCTGGCTTGCTGTTGCTGCGCCCCAGAGCACCAGCAGCCGCACGCCTGGAGCCCTGTACGTACACCGGGAGCAGCAGCAGCAGCCAGGAAAAATGTTTCTGCAAGAAGATTTTAAATTAGATTTCTAAGATTGAAATGAATAAAAGTAAAAGCAAGAAAAGATTACAAACGAGAAAAGAACTTGCTGATTGCTGCTGCTGACCTGCAGACTGCAAAGCCCTGAAAAGCGCCGCGGGCAGCCCCTGCTGCGGGCCAGTCTTGCTGCTGCTGCTGCTGCTGCTGCTGCTGCTGCGGGAGGCCCACAGCCACGTGACAGCTGCTGCAGCCACGCCGCGCCTCGCCTAAGGAAGGAAAGCCACAGAGGCGGCTGCAGCATTTTGCTGCAGGGCCCCACAGAGCTGCAGCAGCTGGCGTCAGGGCCTCCACGCCCAACTGCCCTGCAGCTGAAGACCCCGCAGGCGTCACTGGGGGCCCCCCAAAGGGCCCCCCAAGGGGCCCCCCTAGGGGGCCCCCGGGGGGCCCCCCGGGCTCATAGTGGGCGCTCCAGAGGGCCCACTGGACGTTCAGACGTTGCAGGTTTCGGGGGGTGCATATAGACCTTGAGGGGGCCCCACAAGCTGGGCCCCTAGAGCTGCGTCGAGCTCCATCGGCAGCGCTGCTGCTGCTGCTGCTGCTGCTGCTGCTGCTGCTGCTGCTGCTGCTCAAGCTGCTGGCTAAAGAGGCCCCAGAGGACAGAAGAGCCCCAGAGAGCTCCAGCCCCGTAGATAGCGGGCCCGTGGGGGCCCCCGAGGCCCCCAAGGAGGCCTCTGGAGGGGCCCCCGGGTCGCCTAGAGAGCCAAAAAACCCGCTTAAAAAGGAGCCGGGGGCCCCCGTGGAGTTCGCAAGATTTGCCTGAGAGGCTCGCAGAGGGGATAGGGCCTCATCTGTTAAGAAATCCGAAGAAAGCTGCTCATTTGCTGCCTCCAGGGGGCCCCCAAAGAGCTCCACGGGGGCCCCCAGGGGCCCCTGGCGGCTGCTTTCCTGCGGGGGGCCCCCACTGTCAAAGTATTTTGCTAGGCTTTCACTTCTCCCTTTTCGGTCCTCTTTGGCCGCGTTGCTGCTGCAGAGCGCTCTGCTGCTGCTGCTGCTGCTGCTGCTGCTGCTGCTGCTGATGCTGATGGTTGTCGTGCTGCTGGCAGCGGCAGCTGCAGCCTGGGAAGCCTCAAGGGGGGCCCCCCCTGGCTGCGGGACTCCTGGGGGGCCCCCAAGAACCCCTTTTGGCTCAACTTTTGGGTATTCGCAGATTTCAGTTTGTGTGCTGCAGTTTACGGAGCCTCTTCGAGGCCTTTCTTTTGCTTCTTTCCCCTTTTGCTGCTCCCCGCCAGCTGCTGCAGCGGACTTGTGCAAATTTCGATCTTTTTTGGAAGTTCTTTCTTTCTCTTTTCTCTTTCTTTCTCGATCTCGAACCCCCTGAGGCTCCATAAGGGGCTTTTCTGTAAAGGAATTTACTGGCTGTGGATTTCGGGGCCACCGAGGAGCTTGCAAAGAGCTGCTAAGAGCTCTGCGGGGCAGCAAAGTGGACCCTGGGGGCCCCCCGGGGGGCCCCATCCCGGGGCCTGGGGGGGCCCCCGGGGGGCCCCCCGCGGAGTTCAGAGCAGCCAGCGTCAGCCGCGGGACTCCTGCAGCCACAAGGGAGAGGCCCCTCGGGCTGCTGCTCATTGCGGGGCCTCCCGCAGCAGCAGCAGGGGCCCCAAGAGGCAGCATTGAGGGAAGGGGCCCCCTAGAGGGCCCCTCCCCTTCAATATGAGTGCCCCCGGGGGCCCCCTCAGGGGCCCCCAGTGAACGCGGGGCCCTCGGGCCTAAGGAACAGGCGCGCTCGGGGGCCCTGGGGCAGCTGCTGCTGCTGTGCGCAGACAGGGGGCCCCTGGGGGGGGCCCCCGGGGGGCCCCTAGAGGCTAGAGTAGGGCCTCCAACAGCAGAGGGGGCCCTCGATGGGGGCCCCCTGAGAGAAAGACTTCCTTCAAAAGAGTCCTGGCGAGTCAAAATGGAATTCAAAGTTTGCAACCTTCGGAGAATGCGGCCCCCAATTGCTGCTGGGCTTTCTGGGAGGCCATCTGCAGTGCCGTCAGAGGGGCTGTTGGGGAACTCGCTGCTGCTGCTGCTGCTGCTAGTGCTGCTGCTGCTGCTGCTGCTGCTGCTGCTTTGCAGAGTGCAACTGCGCTCCGTTGCTGCCGAGTTGCGGCGAAATGCCGCAGCAGCTGAAGTTCCACGAGGACCAGCAGCAAAAACAGGAGGAGCAGCAGCAGTAGGAGCAGCAAGAGCAGCAGGAGCAGCAGCAGCAGCACACTGCAGCAGCTGGTCAGCTGTATAGCTGCTTCTTCGGCTTTGCTGCGCTGCTGCTGCATCAGGGCGGCTGCGCGCAGCAGCTGCTGCACCTGCGCCCCTCGATAGATCCACTTTTGCTTCAGGGGCCCCATTCTTCTTCTGCTGCTGCTGCTGCTGCTGCTGCTGCTGCTGCTGCTGCTGCTGAGGGACAAGCAGCGGAGGGGGCCCCCCTAGAGGCAGATCGCTGTCAACAGAGGCCTGCGAAGGAGACAGCAAAGGAGGGCGTGCTGCCCTGCTGCTCTTGCTGCTGCTGCTGCTGCTGCTGCTGCTGCGGCAGCGGCGGAGGCGGCGGCGGCCGGGCTTGCGGGCCTGCTCTGTGCTGCAGGCAGTAAGGAAAGGAATTGCGTTTTGCTGCTTCAATGAATACTTTTCAAACTCTCCTGGAAACTGTTGCTGCGGGCAGGGCTGATGCTGCTGCTCTGATTGTTGCTGCTGCTGCTGCTGCTGCTGCTGCTGCAGTGGTTGCGTTTGCTGTCGTTGTTGCTGCTGCAGTGACTGCTGTTGTTGCTGCTGCTCCTCCTCCTGCAACTGTTGTTGCTGCTGCTCCTGCCGCTGCAACTGTTGTTGCGGCCGCTCCTGCTGCTGTAACTGTTGTTGCTGCTGCTCCTGCTGCTGCTGCAGGAAATGCTGCTGCTGCTGCTGCTGCTGCTGAAGTGACTGTTGTTGCTGGCGCTGCTCCAGTGACTGCTGCTGCTGCAGAAACTGTTGATGTTGCTGCTGCTGCTGCTGCAGTGTGAGTTCCTGTTGATGCTGGTGCTGCTGCAGCTGCTGTTGATGCTGCTGTTGCTCCTGCATTGGAGGCTGCCTGGCCTGCTGCTCCTGCTGCATCGATTGTGCCGGACAGAAAGGTTGCTGTTGTTGCTGCTGCTCCTGCTGCTGTGACAGCTCCTGCTGCTGCATTTGCTGCTGCTGCTGCGGTTGTTGCTTTTGATGATGTTGTTGCTCCTGCTGCACTTGACGCTGCTGTTTCTCCGGAAGTTGTTGGTGATGCTGTTGCTCCTGTTGCTGTTGCTCTTGCTGCATTTGGTGCTGTTGGTGCTGTTGCTGCTGCTGTTGCTGCTGCTGTTGCTGCTGCTGTAACTGTAGCTGTTTCTGCTGCTGGTGCTGCGGCTGCAGTTGCTGCTGCTGCCGTGTTTGCTGCTGATGCGTTGGCGCTGCAGCATCAAACACCCTCCCCAATTTCTGAATTGAGGCAAAACTGGAACTCCTTCTGAGGCCGTGGGGCCCCACCTGGGGGGCCCCTGGGGCCCCTGGGGCCCCTGGGGCCCCTGGGGCCCCTGGGGCCCCCCGAAGCAGCATGCTGCTGGAGCAACTGTGCAGCAGCTGCTGGCGGGGGCCCCTGGTAAGTTCTAGGGAGCGCGTGAGGGGGCCCCCCAGCCCTGAAGGGGTTAGGGGGGCCCCCGGCGGTACCCAGGGGCCCGGGCCCCACCAAGGGGAGGGCCTCATAGGGAACACGGGGCCCCAGTAGGGCCCCGGGGGTGCAAAGGGGGGGCCCAGGGGAGGTCCTGGGTAGTGCTGCTGCTGCTGCTGCTGCTGCTGCTGCTGCAGCACCTGCAGCCATACAGGCGAACAGCAGGAGCCGGCCAGCTTGCCGCAAGCTGCAGCAGCAGCAGCAGCAGCAGCAGGGACAGGATGCGCTGCAGCAACAGGAATATGCAGAGGGCCCCCTGCAGCATCGTAGGGAGACGGAGCAGAGACAGCTCGGGGAGTGCTGAAGAACACAGGGGGGCCCACAGGGGGCCCCCCGGGAGTCCTGGGGGCCCCCAGGGGCCCCAGGGCCCAGGGGCCGCTAGATCTGGGGCTAGTGGCCTCTGGGGGCCTCAAAAAAAGGCGCTGAGGGGCCCTTTTTATTTCTATTTTCGAAGCTTCTCTTGCCCCTGGGGCTTGAGAAGCAGCAAAGGCCTGAAACGCCTCTGGAGTTCTCGGAAAATCTGGAAAACCCGCTTCTCCTGGGCATCTGGGGGCCCCCGGGGCCCCCAGGGCCCCCAAGGCCCCCAGGGCCCCCGGGGCCCCTGGAGAAGCTGGAGGGCCCGGGATGCCCATTAGCTGCGCTTTGCAAGATTCTCTAATGGCCTCTGGGGCCCTCAGGGCCCCCTGGCTTTGAGATCTGAGTCTAAAAGGAAATAGAAGCTGGCTGGGTCTTTGTTTGGGGCCCTGGGGGCCCCCACAGTTGTCCCGGGGTGGACCACTGGTCAGGTCCTGGCTGTGGGACTTCGGGACCAGCTTGCAGCCACTGAAAGCGCTTGGCGGGCGCTCGCGCTGCAGCAGCAGCTGCTGCTGAGCCCCCGCTGCTGCTGCTGCTGCTGCTGCTGCTGCTGCTGCTGCTGCTGCGCCGTCTGGAGCTTGCTGCTCTTCTCCATTTTCTGCATGGGGCCCCTCAAAAAGGTCTTCTGTTCTCACTGCTGCTGCCTCCTTTGGAGCCAAAGGGACAAACAGCTGCTCAGACCAGTCTAGCTCTCTGAGGGGCCCCAACTCCACGTGGCGCTGCCCCGCTGCAGAGTCAAAAATGACTCGCAAGGAGCTGGGGCGGCCCCCCTTGGGGCCCCCGCGGGGGGCCCCCCCTGGGCTCCCCACGGGGGGCCCCCCAGGGCTGCTGGGGTCTTCGAGGCCCCTGTGGAAGGGCACGGAGAGGTCTAGCTGGTTTGCTTCGTCGTCTGAAGAGTCGTAGAGAAACGCTGTGGAGAAAAAGAGGCGAGGAGAAGCAGCAGCAGCAGCAGCAGCTGCTGCTGCTGCTGCTGCTGCTGCAGCAGATTGGGGCTGCTGAACCCTCTCCGGGGGCCCCCAGGCCTCCTGCAGAGGGGGCGCCTCCGCCAGTTTGCTGTCTGCTCTGAATTGCTGCTGAGGCCGCAGCTGCGTCTGTCGCTGCAGCAGCAAGTGTGAGTCTGTAAAGGACATAATGGCTTGCTGCTGCAGCAAAGGGTAAATGGGGAAAGAGGAAAACAGAAAGAAGAATAAAACTGCCACAAAAAGCAACAGTGAGGGCCTCTGGGGCCTCCACCCTCCTCACTTCTGCCCCAGCCTCATTCTTGCAGCCTTTGCTCGCTTCATGGGTACGTACACCGTGGAGGCTTCAGGTGTACACGACATGCGCAGGAAAAGAATAAATGTGAGGGAGATCTGAGGGCTCTGTGGAGAGGAAGAGAGATCTGGAGTGTCTGTACACCCTGGAGTGTACAAAGACAGAAAAAAGACTCACAGCGTCTCTAGGGCAAGCGCTAGACGGCCGGCTTCAGGGCCAGCTGGCCGTGCAAATGCTTTTGCAACTTTCACTAAATAAGTTCTTCAAATAAGACTTTTAAAGGCTCTAAAGTTCATTTGCAGATTCAGAAAGGCGAAGGCAACAGACACGTAGAAGACCCCTGGCTGAGCCCCTGCGTCGGCAGCGGCCTGCAGAGGCTGTGGGCCCTCAGGCTGGTTGCTGCTTGTCTTCGACAGAAATACCATATTCGTGGCTCTTTTTTCTTCTTTTTTAAATTATTTAAAAAGCATAAATCCAGTAAAGTCCAATCTGAGGTGTTAGCACCACTGGAAGGCAAAATGGCTCGGAGATCCGCTGCGGCGGCGGGGGGCCGGGCGTGACCTCCGCTGCGGAATGCGCCTGAGAAGAAGACACCTTGGGCTTGAAAACCTGCAGCAAAAACCCAATTTTCAATCTCATTTAAATTTTTAAACTTATAAAAGAAATAAATTGAATCTTTTGTGCTGCTGCATGCGTAGAATCAAAGGCAGCTCACCGAGACGCTGCAGACACACTGCAGTCCGAGGCCCAGCGGCGGCGGTGGCCAGAGCTGAGCGTCTGCAGCAAAAAAGAGTTCGCTGCGCTTATTTGCTGCTTCCTTCTTCGATTTAGTTTCTAAAAATACTATATAAAAGAAGTTTTGAGCAAAAGTTAGATGAAAATATAACTCCAAACTCACACTTTCAGATCGGCAGCAGCAAACTCCCGACACCAGCGCCAATGCCACTGCAGCACACCAAAGCCTTCCCCACAACTGCAGTAGCAGCTAGCTGTGGCTAGCTACCGTGAGCTGCAGCTAGCTGTGGCTAGCTGCTGCTAGCTGTGGCTGGCGGAGCACTTTGCATGTCTCTACACCACAGAAAAGCCCCATGACTGAATGGAATTTTCGGGTGTATCTACATCTTTATTAATTAACTTTTCACTGCACGGGTGGCACTTCTCCAGTCCCACTTTAAGTCCCACTTCAAGTTCAACTAATGTTGTCTTTTCCCCTTTTCTTTCGCATTTGCGTTATTCATATATTCTCTGGCCTCCAACTGCTTCTAAAAGTGCCAACAAATTGAACTTAAGCTCGACAAAACTCTTAAAAGGCAGCAGAAGGCAAAGCCAGAAAACAATTGGCTGAAGCCGCCTGGCTTTTGCTTGCTGCTGCTGGCGACCCTCATTCTGTACGGACCCGCTCCAAACCCTAAAACCCAAACCCTAAACCCTAGACCCTGCATGCTCCGCGAAGGCTGCAGTGCCGGCTACTTTAAACTCTAGGCGCCAAATCCCAAACCCCGCGTCCTCCCGCAGCCTTCTGGCTGCTGCTGCTGCTGCTGCTGCTGCTACTGCAGACATGCCTGCGTCCCCAGGGGCCCCTGCTGCTTCCGCGGCCAGTTAATTGGGCCCTAGAGAGGCCCCCAGGGGGCCCCTTAAGGGCCCCCAAGGGGCCCCGTGAGGCCGCTAAGCCTTTCGTAGCCCTGAGGGCTGTGGACTGACTACTTGGGGGCATTGGGGAGGGTCTTGCAGCCACATTGAGCTAAATATGAGCTATCTGCCAGTCTGGGTCGTGGAGTAGGTAGCTAGCTAGCTGGCTAGCTAGCTAGCTAGGTGGCTGCGTGGCTGGCTAGCTAGCTAGCTAGCTAGCTGGGTGGCTGTGTGGCTGGCTAGCTAGCTAGCTAGCTAGCTGGCTGGCCAGCTAGCGGGCAAAGGAAAGAGCGGGCTAGAGAAACGCTAAAGAGCAACAGTTTCGGATGTCGCCTTTTCCGCTATAAGGCCACTACTCAAGCGGCAAGGCAGCTACAGCGGACGAGGGGGAGCAGCGCCGCAGCAGCTGCTGCAGCAGCTGCAGCAGCTGCAGCAGCAGCTGCTGCAGCTGCTGCTGCACACTGCAGCAGCCTCCACAGCGGAAACTGTGCGGGCTGTTGCCGTTAGCCACAGATGGCCCGTCCCCCTGCGGCCAGCTAGCTGCTGCAGCTAGCTGCTGCAGCTAGCTGGCACAGCTAGCTAGTGTCCCGGCCCTCGGGGCCCCGCGTGAGGCACAGCTAGCTAGGACAGAACGAAAAAGAAGAGCGCTGCAGCAAAGCAGCAGGCGCAAGGCCAACCCCTGTCTGCTGCTTCGAGCGGCCCATACTACCACGCTGCAGCAGCACAAGAAAGGGGGCCTTGTGGGGCCCCACACTCATGGTCACATAGGCCCTTGAAGGCAGCAGCAGCAGCAGCAGCAACTCGGGAGGAGTGCTGTGCTGCTGCTGCTGAGCGAAGCTCGCACTACCAACATGTGCGCTAGTTCCCAGAGCCGCTTCCGCGGCAGTTGCTGCTGCAGGCGCTGCTGCTGCTGCTGCAGCTGCTGCTGCTGCTGCAGCTGCTGCTGCAGCTGCTGCTGAAGGCTCCGGCTCGCTTCCCTTCAGCTGCTGCGTTGGCAGTCTTACATGGGGAAAACTGCTGTAATGGAGTTAAGTCCGTTTGGCTGCATTGAGGGTTTGTCTGAGAGAGTAGCAGCAAGTGCTGCAGACAGCTGCTGCGCCTCTGCTTCCTGCTGCATGCGGTACCGCATCCACCGCACTCTTGCTGCTGCTGCTTTTTGAGCCCGCAGCCTTTCTGCTGCTGCATCATCCATCGGCAGCACATGTCTTTGGGGCCTCGCCCGCAGCTTTCCCTTCTTGGGGGGGGCCCCGCAGGGGGCCCCTGGGCTGGGCCCCTCTGCGCCGCTGCTCTCTGCTGCGGGGCCCCAGGGGGCCCCCAGGGGGGGCCCCAGGGGGGCCCCCAGGGGGGCCCCCGGGGAAAAGCCCTGCCCGTGCATGCAGTTCGGGGGCCCCTGCCACTCCGGCCAGCCCGCCGGCGCTGCTGGTGCGCCGTCCTGCTGCAGCAGCTGCAGCGGCGCTGCTGCAGCATCTGCTGCTGGGTGCGGCGGCGCGCTGAAGGCGGGGCTGTGCGCTGCTGCTGCTGCTGCTGCGCTGCTGCTGCTGCTGCTGCTGCTGCTGCTGCTGTGCAGGCCTGCCTCCGGCGCTGCTGCAGCAAAGCCCGCAGCGCCCTCCCCCTCGCAAGCCACTGCCACCGCCCGCAGCTGCTGCGGCCCCAGCCGAGCCAGTGCAGCAGCATCTGCTTCGTCTGCTGCAGTCCACAGCCCGGGAAACTGCTGCAGAAACTCCACAGCAGTTTCAGTCCCGGGAACTTGAGAAGCCAAGACACAAAGTCTTTCCCCCAGCAGCAGCTGGCAGGCAGCCCAGCGCCTGGCCAGCAGCAGCGCCTGCTTCCTCTTCAGAGGGTCTGACGGCGAGAAGAAGAAGCAGCTGCGGCTCACCAGCGCAGCAGCAGGCGCTGCTGCAGCAGCAGCAGCAGCAGCAGCAGCAGCAGCAGGCGCCGCCTCGCCGCCGCCCCCGTCTTCTGCTGCAGCAGCAGCCACAGCCACGCGCCACCGACAAGCCCCGTGCTCCCACACACAAGCCAGCATAGATCGAGTCCCAACAGTTTGCTGCTGCAGCAGCCGCCCGTCTCCGCCTTCTGTGGGCTGCAAGACCCACGACGCTGCGCAGTCCAGGGGCCCCGCAGCGGGGCAGGGGGGCCCCCCGGGGCCCCCGGGGCCCCCGGGGCCCCCGGGGCCCCCCGGGGGGCCCCCGGGGGCCCCCGGGGGCGTCCCCACGGGCTGCAGCACAGAGGGGGCCCCCCACCCGCCGCCGCCGGCCAAGTCCGCGGGCAGCGCCGACAGCACCGACCCGTCTTCCGAGAGCCCGTTGGACCCCACAGGGAGGCCCCCCTGGCCTGGTTCCTGCTGCTGCTGCTGCTGCTGCTGCTGCTGCTGCTGCTGCTGCTGGCCTGCGGACCTGGGGGGCGCGCCGGACTGCCGCTTTCGCTTGTTGCTGGGCTTGACGTGCTGCGCACTGTCACCCACAAGAGCCTCAACAGCATCTGCTGCTGCTTCTGCAAAGAGGGGGTCCGAGCAGCCGCCCTTCCAGCCGCCCTGCTGCAGCAGCTGCTGCCACCGCTGCCGCCTGCTGCTGCGGTCCCCCGCAGGCACTGGCAGCCCCTCCACTGCCTGCTGCGCAGACTCCACGGGCTCTGGCAGCGGCAGCAGCCCGAAGACAACAGCAGGCAGCGCGGGGATGCGGCTGCGCGAAGTTGCGGGCGGCTGCGGGATCAGCAGCTCCGAAGCCAGCCGCGCCTGCAGCAGCAGCAGCAGCAGCAGCAGCAGCAGCAGCAGCAGCAGCAGCAGTGGCAGCAGCAGCGGCGGAGGCGGGGAGCGGCATGGATCGGCTGCTCCGCGACCCCAGCAAGGACTTCAACAGCAGCAGACAATACCCAGCACGTCAAACTCGCAGTGCAAACCAGAAACAGCAGCAGCAGCAGCAGCAGCAGCAGCAGCAGCAGCAGCATTTACCTGCATGGCCAGGAGCTTGCTCTGGTACAGCCCGTACTTCCGGCAGCTGAAAGTTCTGCTGCGGTTTTGCTGCTGCAGGCTCTGGGTCTTGACGCCGCTGCTGCTGGGGGTGGGGGCCCCCGGCCACTTGGTGGGGCCCCCCGTTGCAGGGGTCTTTGGAGAGGCCATCCCCTGCTGCTGCTGCTGCTGCTGCTGCTGCTGCTGCTGCTGCCGGCAGGGAGCAGTGCCCTCCCTCCAAAGACAACGAAATGCCAATTTGCTCTTGTCAAACTTTACACCATCCGGCAATGTAAAGTCCACAAGACCCACCCCTGTGACCTGCAGCAGCTCTTCTTTATAGCCCCCAGCAGCAGCAGGAGCAGCAGCAGGAGCAGCAGCAGGAGCAGCAGCAGGAGGGGACCCTGGGGTGGGGGCCCCCAGCGGAGAAGGCTCCAGCGGGCCCCCACAAACAGGGGCCCCTGCTCCTGCCGGGCGCGGGGTGCCAGCTGCTGCTGCTGCTGCTGCTGCTGCTGCTGCTGCTCCAGGGCTGCCGGCCGGCGCGGCTGTTCCCACTGCGGAGTCCTGGCTCGCTACAGCAGCAGCAGCAGCTGCTGCTGCTGCTGGGTTTGCGTCCTTCTGGTCCTGGGCCATGTAGAGCTGCAGCAGCAGCCGATTCTTCTGCAGCAAGGCCATGTCATCTGCAGGCAGCTCGCGGGCTCCCGTGTCTGCTGCTGCTGCTCCCAGCCGGTCGTAGAAGGTGTGGGCCAAGTTCAGCAAATAAGACACAGCTTCGGGGTCTGCGGGGTCAGAAAACCACTGAGCAGCAGCAGCAGCAGCAGAGCAGCAGCAGCAGCAGCAGAGCAGCAGCAGCAGCGCCTTGCAGTCCTAATGCAGCTAGCTAGCTGGCTAGCCACCCAGCGAGGCCGCTGGCCACTAACAGGCCGGCCACACGAGCTCGAAGAACAGCAAGTACTGCTGATAGTGCCAACTGCAGCAGCAGCAGCAGGCGCAGCAGCAGCAGGCGCAGCAGCAGCAGGCGCAGCAGCAGCAGACGCAGCAGCAGCAGGCGCAGCAGCAGCAGCAACACCCTGCAGCTTACAGAGGCGACATCGCTGGAGTAGCCGCAGACCCAAATGAGGAAGTTGGAGAGACACAGCAGCCGCAAGTCCCACGTCAGGAGACAGTTGAGCTGCAGCAGCAGCAGCAGCGCAGCAGCAGCAGCAGCAAGGGCAGCTGCAGCGAATCCCAAAACGCCTAGCCTCATCCGGGGGGCCCCTAGGCAGTGTGGGGCCCCCTGAATGGGTCACTGGGGGCCTCTAGAAATGCAAAAGGGATTTGGAAACAGAAAAAAGATTAAAAAAAAGAAAAAAGAAAAACAAAATTAGAAAAAGAAATAAAACTCTCACCATTATGTACAGCTGCGGAAAGGTAAATATGTTGATCACTGCGTCGCGGACCCGCACCACTTTCTGAGCAGCGCAGCAGCAGCGCAGCAGCAGCGCAGCAGACAAGGCAGCAGCTGCAGCAACGCCAAGTCAGCAGCAGCAACGCCAGAGCAGCAGCAGGAAAACCAAAAGCAGCAGCAACAAAACCAGCTGCAGGCCCGACAACAGCAGCAGCAGCGGATCCAGCAGCAGCAGCAGCAAAAAAGCCGCGAAACCAGCAGCCGCAGCAGCAGCGTAGCAGCACAAGCAGCAAAACCGACAGCAGCAGCAGCAACACAAGCAGCAGAGCTCCAACAGCAGCGGCAGCAGCACATGCCGCAAAACCTCCAACAGCAGCAGCACCCAGAGCAGCAAACCTCCAACAGCAGCAGCAGCACCACGAGCGGACAACAACAGCAGCAGCAACCCAAGCAGCAAAACCAAAGCAGCAGCAGCAGCAGCAGCAGCAGCAGCAGCAGCAGCACACTTCATCTGCCTGCACAGCGAAAGTGGGCTCGAGGAAAAGGTCATAGAGCTGCCGCAGCTCTCTGCGCCTCTCCGAGTCCGCAGCCACCACGAAGGACAAGGGCACTGGGGGGCGCAGGCCCTGCAGCGTGGCCAGCGCAGCATCCTGCAGCAGCAGCAGCAGCAGCAGCAGCAGCAGCAGCAGCAGGTGCAGCGGCGCCGTGGCTGCAGCGGCAGCAGCAGCAGCTGCTGCAGCAGCCAGCGCGGCAGCGGCGAAGGCAGCCGATGCTCCTGGGCTGTCGCAGCAGAAGGCACCCCAGAAGCAGCAGTGCTGCTAACAGCAACTGCAGCAGCAGCAGCAGCAGCAGCGAAAGCAGCAGCACAGCAACAGCAGCAACGCACCACTAGGAGCAGCAGCGAAAGCCGCAACCGCGGCAGTAGCTGCAGCGGAATTGGCAGCAACAGCATCCGCAGCGGCGGCAGAAGCAGCAGCAGCAGCAAGAGCAGCAGCAGCAGCAGCAGCAGCAGCAGCAGCAGAGATGTTACCCTGTGTTGCTGCGAGTCGTAAATAAGCAAGAAGTCCACGAGAGCATTTGCTGCATCTCTTTTTGTTTCTTCTATGAGCTGCTCGAAGCCTCGCGTCAGCAGCGCTGCTGCCTGCAGCAGCAGCAGCAGCAGCAGCAAAGTGACACGCAGCAGCAAAAAGGAAAAAATGACAAAAGGAAGCAAAAAAGAAAAACGAAAAAGACAAGAAGCAGAAAATTAAAGGAAAAGAGACACAAAAGAGAAAGAAGAAGACAGCAGCAAAAGGAGAGCAGCAGCAGAAGCAAAGAGAGGAGACGCAAAAGGAGCTGCAGCAGACAAAAGACACGGGCAAAGCAGCAGCAGCCACAGCAGCAGCAGCGCAGCAGCAAACCGAACCTTTTGCTGCTCACCATTCGCAGCTGCCACGTGTCGCCCCGCTGCCGCTGCACTACGCGAACGCCCCAGCTGCTGCTGCTTGGGCTCTCCAGCCCCTTGCTGCTGCTGCTGCTGCTGCTGCTGCTGCTGCTGCTGCTGTTGCCCGGGGCCCCACCGTCCGCGCCGCCGCCGCCCTCCGCGCCTGGTGCTGCTGCCGTCGCCGCCCCTGCTGCTGCTGCTGCTGCTGCTGCTGCTGCTGCTTCGGGGGCCTCCTCAGCTGCCCCCAACGCCACCGGCTCGGGCCAGGGCCCCTCAGCAGATGAAGTCTTAGGGGCTGCACTGTCTGGCCTGCTCTCAGCTTGTGCTGCAGGGGCCCCGGGGGCCCCGGGGGCCCCCGGGGCCCCGGGGGCCCCCGGGGCCCCCGCAGCAGACCCGTGGGGGCCCCCCGGGGCGGAGGGGGCCCCCAGGGCCACCTCAACAGCAAAACAAGTGTAAGGGGACCTCGAGACGGGGGCCCTTGGCCAGGGTTTGGCATCTGCGGGGTCTCCTGGAAAAGGTTCTTCTGCTTCAGCAGCAGCAGCCATGAAGGGGCCCTGCAGGCTGCTGTCGCCCTCTGCTGCTGCTGCTGCTGCTGCTGCTGCTGCTGCTGCGGTGCTCTTGATGGGGCCCCCCAGAGAGCTGCCGTCCTCTGGGTCCGCGTAAGAAGCAAAGGGGGCCCCACGGGGGCCCCCCGAGAGCAGCGCAGCAGCACTTTTCGAGTTGGACTTGGCTTTGTGGGGGCCCCCCTTGGCGGCGTGGTGGGGGCCTGCGGGCGCAGCAGCTGCTGCTGCCAGGTCTGCTTCTGCTGCTGCTGCTGCTGCTGCTGCTGCTGCTGAAGACCCCTGGCTCAGACGAACCCCCGGAGGCAGCGGGGCCAACCTGTGGCTCCAAGGAGGGTCACCTAGGGGGTAGGGGGCCCCCTGGACAAAAGTGTCTTTGGTATACCAGCAGCCCTGAGCAGCAGCAACGTAGAGGCGCGCACTTTGCTGCTGCAGCAGCAGCCGCTGCTGCCGCAGCTGCAGCAGCTGCAGGCTCGAGTTCACCTCCTGCAGCAGCTCCTCAACGACGGTGCTGCTGCAGCAGCGCCTGCTTGCTGCTGCTTTGCGCCCGTCGCTCGCCCCCGCCGCCGGGGCAGCAGCAGCAGCTGCTGCTGCTGCAGGCCCCGCTGCAGCAGCAGCAGCAGCAGCAGGAGACTCGTCGTCTGTTGCTCCCGCATCCGACAAGATATCTGCTGCTGCTGCTTCCCCAGCAGACAGAGACAGCTGCTGCCGCAGTTCTGCATATTTTGCTGCCACTGCTGCAGCCCTCTCTCTGCTGCGGCAGAGGCACGAGAACACTTTCCGCCGGCACAGCGCCTTGCTGCTGCTGCTGCTGCTGCTGCTGCTGCTGCTGCTGCTGCTGGACTGGCGTAGAGTAACTACGAAGGCGCTGCGTTTCCCGTCAAAAGCAATTTGCTGCAGCGCCCAGCAGCAGCTGCTCTGTGTCTTTTGCTTCCCCTTAAGTTCTGTCTTCAGCAGCTCTTTGTGGGGTGCCCTGAGCTCGGCCTCAGGGGGGCCCCCCTGGGGCCCCCCTAGGGGCCCCAGGGGGCCCCCCTCAAGGGGCCCCTCCCCGTGGGGCCCCTCCCCGTGGGGCCCCTCGTGGAGGCCCTCCTGGGGCGCCTCCTGGGGGCCCCCCGCGTGGGGCCCCTCGTGGGGCCCCTCGGGGGGCCCCCCGTGGGGGCCCTCGAGGGGCCCCCCCTGGGGCCCCACGGGGGGCCCCTCGGGGGGCCCCTCCTGGGAAGGAGAGACTGGAGAGGGCGGAGGGGCAGGACAGGGGCCCCCCCAGTACCCTGGAAAGGCTGCTGCAGGTGGCAGAGCCTCCGCAACATCGCTGGGCAGTGCAGCAACAGGCAGCAGCAGGTCCGGGCTGCACAAAATGCCATCTTTTGCTGCTGCTGCTGCTGCTGCTGCTGCTGCTGCTGCTGCAGGACGGGCCGACGCACAGCTCTGCTGCTGCAGCAGCTGCTGCTGCGAAGCCGCTGCAGCGCGGGGCGCCTGGTCCGGCAGCAGCACGCCTGCTTCCCGCTTAACGTGGGTCACCTCCATTGCTGCTGCTGCTGCAGTTGCTGCTGCTGCTGCTGCTGCTGCTGCTGCTCCGCCCCCCAGCTGCTCTTTCTTGACAGGAGACAAGCAGCAAAGCTCGTAGGCAGCCATGGCGCCGCGCCGCAGCTCGGCCTTCATGCGTTGCTTCAGCGCCTGCTGCTGCTGCTGCTGCTGCTGCTGCTGCTGCTGCTCGTCCGAGGCTGCCGCTGCGCCTTCTGCTTCTGCTGCTGCTGCTGCTGCTGCTGCAGCGGGGCCCCCCTGCCCCAGCTGCCTCGACAGCTGCAGCAGCAGCCCCCGGCTCTTCATGATCTGCCGCAGCAGCACTTGTCTGCGTCTCCGCACCCGCCGCTGCTGCAGGTCTGTGCTGCTTTCGTTTGCTGCAGGGGCCCCCCCAGGGGCCCCCTGCAGCGCCCGCAGCAGGGGCCCCCTTTGGGGGCCCCCCAGCCACTGCTGCAGCGCCTCGCCTTCGCCTGCTGCGGGCTGCGGCAGCAGCGAGAAGACCGTCGTGCTGCTCGCTGCTGAGGCTTGCTGCTGCTGCTGCTGCTGCTGCCGCTGCTGCTGCTGCTGCTGCTGCTGGTCTGCTTCGTCTGTCGAGGAAGCTGCGCTGCAGAGAGCTTCTGTTGCCAGCGGCAGCAGCACCTGCAGCAGCGCAGCAGACTCCCCTGGGGACAGCAGCTCTTCCTTCTTTTCCCAGTGCGCAGCTGGGGGCCCCTGGGGGGCCCCCCAGGGGCCCCCCTCAGGGCCCCCCAGGGGCCCCGGGGCCCCCCAACTCAGGGGGGCCCCCAAAGTCTCAAAGGCCTCGCCCCCCAGGCGGGAGAGCTGCGCCGTGACTGCAGCCTCGAGAGGGTACAGAGGGTCGGAGCTGCACTGCTGCTGCGGGGGGCCCCCAGGGGCCCCCCGCCAGGGGGGCCCCCCGTCGTGGTCCGGGAGAGCAGCAGAAGCCAAAGGGACTTCTCCGATTTCTTCCTGCAGCCATTTGACAATGCCCGGGGGAAGCAGGGACTGCAGCAGCAGCGGCAGAGCACTTGTTGAGTCTGCTGCTGACGCCGCTGCTGCTGCTGCTGGTCTCGCTGCTGCTGCTGCTGCGGAGCCCGCGCTGCTGTCTGCTGCAGCAGCTGCTGCTCTCGCAGCCGGCGAAGCAGGGGCCCTCGCGGAGGGGGCCCCCGAGGAGGGGCCCCCTTGGACTTCCATGGGGAAGCCTCGGGCGGCGCCTCAAGGGCTTTATGGGGGCCCTCCTGAGGTGTACATACACCTGAAATGATGGCGCGGCTGGGAAGCTGAGGGCTGGGCGCCTGCGCTGCTGCTGCTGCTGCTGGCCGCGCAGTTGCTGCAGCAGCGGCCTGCTGCTTCAGCCGGGGGTCCACACAGCTCCTGGAGCACGATAGGGCTTTGTTTGAATGCCAAACTCGATAAAAATCTGCAATTTCATTTCAAAAGAAGTACTGAACGCGAAAAGGGCTTATCTAAGGGCCTCCGGAGACCCGGGGGCCCCCCGCTGCGCCGCCGCCGCGGACCGTTCTGGGCGCCTGCAGCAGCAGCAGCAGCAGCAGCAGCAGCCGTTTTTTTGCTTTTTGCCTTTTTACCCTTTCTAATGCGCGCCTATAGGGCCTTTTGAGAGACTCATTTCCCCCCAAACTGCAGCAGAGGCAGCGCAGCTCACCCCTGCATGCACGCAGCCCGAGCTCCCGGGGGCTCCTGTGGCTGCAGGGCCCTTGGGGGGCCCCCACAGCCGCTCGGGGGGCCCCCAAGGGCTTCAGAGGGTACAGGGGAGTGCACTTGAGGCCCAGGGGGGCCCCTGGCCTCCGGGGGGCCCTCGGGGGCCCCCGGCCAGCCCACTGGGGGTGGGGGGGTACAGGGGCGCAGCAAAACAGCTGCAAGAAAGGAGAGTCCTTTGAGGGTACTCTTGGGGGCCCCTGGAGAGGCCTGGGGGGCCCCCTGGGACCCGGAGGGGGCCCCCAGGGTGGCTGGCTAGTTTGTTGCAGGCCAGCGTGGCTAGCTAGTCAGTTCGCCAGCGAGTTAGCTAGCTAGCTAGCTAGCTGCGGTGGCTAGCTGCGGCGCAGCAGCTAGCCAGCAGCTGCGCCTGACAGCTGCTGCACCCAAGGCTTGCTGCTGCACCCAAGGCTTGCTGCTGCACCTAAGGCTTGCTGCTGCACTCAAAAGTTTGCTGCTGCACCCAAGGCTTGCTGCTGCATCCAAGGCTTGCTGCTGCACCTAAGGTTTGCTGCTGCACCCAAGGTTTGCTGCTGCGCAGCACCCTTAGCTAGCTGCCCCGCTGCAACACAGAGGCCCCTGCTGGGGGCCCCCCTGCTGCTGCGCTGCCCCGAGAGGTCCAGCGGGGGCCCCCCAGGCCATCCAGCATTTAAACATTTTGAACTTCGCACTTTCCAAAAAGGAAAATGCAAATTTCAAAGTGTTTAATAAACATAAATAAGTCCTTTTAACGGCCCGGGGGCCCCACAGACCCTGGGGGCCCCCAGCGGGGGCCCCCGCGGGGGGCCCCAGGGAAACCCTAGCCACCAGTGGGGGCCCCATGAGAGGGTGGGGGCCCCTGGGGCCCCCACCCACCAGGGAGTGGGGCCCCTGTGGGGCTCCCTGGGGCCCCCAGGGGCCCCTGGGGCCCCGCTGTTGAAGTGGGGACTTGGGCCTCACTTTTGGCCTTTTTATTGGCTCTAATCTTTAAGGGGGAAGTGGCTGGGGGGCCCCGCAGAGGGCCCCTGGCTCGCAGCTCACTGCGGGCCACAGCTAGCCACGGCTGCACCAGCTAGCTAGCTAGCTGGGCCGTGGCTAGCTAGCTGAGCCAGCTGCCCCCAGGTAGCTGCGGCCGCGTTGGCCGCGGGTAGCTAGCCGGGCCAGCGGCTTCCAGCTTCCAGCTAGCTAGCTGGCCACCTAGCTAGCTAGCTGGCCACCTAGCTAGCTAGCTAGCCGCCTAGCTAGCTAGCTAGCTAGCTAGCTAGCTGGTAGGTGTGCGAACTGGGCGGCTAGCCACGCGGGAGAGGTAGGCTAGAAAGTCTGCGAGGGCTGTGGCAGTCTATTTGTTTATTGTTTTGAATCTTGAACCCTAAACCCTAAACCCTAAACCCTAAGTCCACAAAGTTGTGCATTAATGGTTTTTCTGTTGTCTAGAAACAAACCCAAGCGTCCGCAGAGGGAGCGTGAGCTGTACAGACAGCCGGAGCTCGCAGCCCGCCTTTGCATGCATGCAAAAAATGGGGCTGGAATTCAAAATGGAAATTCGGAAAGTAAAAAGATGAACTCAAAAGGCATTTGTGGCGGATCTGGCAGCCTGAAATGGTGCTTTTTAGTTTGCAAAATAAAACAATTAAGTTTGGAATTGAAGAAAGGAATTAAATGCATTTTCGCGCTGCTGGGAACAACTCAAACCAGCAGCAAACTGGCCACAGAGGCGCCAGCAGCTCCAACTAGGGTTTCCAACTAGGGTTTAGCGAGGGTTTAGGGTTAGGGTTTAGCGAGGGTTTAGGGTTAGGGTTTTGCGCAAAACCTCCAGGCTTGAAATGAAGTGGACAACTAGGGTTTCTGGGCTGGCTTGGCTAGGGTTTAGGGTTTGGGCTTGGGCCCGCCGCTTGGGGCTTCCCAGGCGCGGACCTGACCTAAACCCTAAACCCTAAACCCTAAACCCTAAACCCTCAGTCCGCCTCGAGAGCCATTTTGCCCGGAGGCTTCAAAGACAAAACCCGAACTCTTCGATTGTGAGAAACAAAAACGGAAGCTGGAAGAGTCAGTTGGTAGTACTCTCCGTCTGTCTGTACACCCCAGAAAGCAGCAAAAGCAGCCACAAACCAAACAAATCACTTTTCCAAAAACTCAAACTCTCACCAACTTCTCCAAAAACCCAAATCTCTAACTCTCACGCTCTCCACAGGGGCCCCCAGGGGCCCCAAGGGGCCCCAAGGGGCCCCAAGGGGCCCCCAGGGGCCCCCAGGGGGCCCCCCAGCCCCTGGGGGGCCCCGAGGCCCCAGCAGCAGAGCCGGCAAAGGGCCCCACAGGGTTCTCGGGGCCCCCACGGGCCCCCAAAACCCGCTGGAAGCCCCAGCAGCCCCTGGGGGCCCCCCGGGGGCCCCCTGGGGGCCCCCCAGGGGCCCCTTTGGGCTCCGCGGGGGGGTTTAGGGGCCTTTTCGAGCTAAGAATGGGGAAAAGGAGTTTCTAATAAAGGCTTTTGGACTTACTTGGAAATAAACTCGAGTCTTTTCATCGAGAGACCTAAAGGATATCTGCCAGGGGCCTTTGCCGCTGTGGAGGCGACAGCCTCTGCCGTGAAGCATCTGCAGCAGCAGCAGCAGCAGCAGCAGCAGCAGCGGGCAGCAGCAAAGAGAAAAGACAAAAATAAACAGATTCAAGAACACAAGGGGAGCCTCAGGAGCAGCAGCAGCAGCAGCAGCAGCAGCAGCTACCCAACGGAGGCGCGCAGGCGAACAGCAGCAGCAAAAGAAAGAGAGGCAGGGGAAAAGAGGCGCCGCAGCACACGGCCGCAGCAGCAGCAAAAGCCCGCAGCGCCGCAGCAGCAGCAAACGCCCGCAGCAGCAGCAAGCGCCCGCAGCAGCAGCAAACACCCGCAGCAGCAGCAACGCCCGCAGCAGCAGCAAGCGACCCGCAGCAGCAGCAAACGCCCGCAGCAACGAAAAAAGCCCGCAGCAGCAGCAAAAGCGCGCAGCAGCAGCAAAAGTGCGCAGCAGCAGCAAAAGCGCGCAGCAGCAGCAAAAGCACGCAGCAGCAGCAGCAAAAGCGCGCAGCAGCAGCAAAAGCGCGCAGCAGCAGCAAAAGCACGCAGCAGCAGCGCAGCACTTACGAACTCCATCCCTAAAGAAGGAATATTTTTGAAAGTCATAAATTCAAGTTTTTCATCTCCCATTTGCTGCGGCACTTTCAGCAGCTCCTGGCAGCACACACAACACTCTTTTGCTGCTCATGTTCTAATTCTTTTTCTTTTCATTTTTATTTTTCTTTTAATTCTTTTTTATTCATATTCGCCTTTTTCTTTTTAATTGTTTTTTACTCATATTCGCCTTTTTATTCACTTCTTATTCCTATTTGTTTCGTATTCCCCTCATTCATATTCATATTCATATTCATATTCATGTTCATGTTCATGTTCATGTTCTCATTGTCATTCCATTTTTATTTTTATTTTTATTATTTTTATTTTTATTTTAATTTTAATTTTATTTTTATTTTTATTCTTATGAGTAAATTTTATTGTGGGTAAAACGGCCCCAGTGAAAGCCGCAGCAAATCGGCTGCGGGGTTCCAGCGCGATTCATAACCGCTGCTGCTGCTGCTGCTGCTGCTGCTGCTGCTGCTGCTGCTGCTTCTCCAATTGTCAGGTCTTGGGGCCCCCCCAACCCTGAGAGGCCCCCAAGAGGGGCTAGGGGCCCCCTGGGGGGCCCCCCGAGTCTGAGGGGCCCCCAGGAGCGGCTGGAGGCCCCCCTTGGGGCCCCCTTCCCTCCAGTTGCTGCTGCAGCATCAGTTTTGGATTTGCGGACCTTGTTTTGTTTTTGTTTTTGTTTGTCAAACATTCTTGTTGCAAGTTTCTTTGAAGGAGCCCATATGTCGTTTCCTCCGCTGAAGCTCGGAATGTTCAAAACCACCAGAGAAGCCGTTTCTGCAGCAGACACACACGCGACCGCCGCTGCTGCTGCTGCTGCTGCTGCTGTGGGTAGAGCTGCTGCTGCTGCTGCTGTGGGTAGAGCTGCTGCTGCTGCTGCTGTGGGTAGGGCTGCTGCTGCTGACGAAGCAAACTGCTGCTGCCGCTGCAGGGCACGCTGCCGACCGCACTGCGTTAGCTGCTGCTGCTGCTGCTGCTGTAGCTAGGGCTGCTGCTGCTGCTGCTGCTGCTGCTGCTGCTGCTGCTGCTGCAGCCTTTGGCGCCACCTTACTGTTGAGCAGCGGCAGCTGCTGCGCCTTTGCTGCTGCTTTGTCTGTGGTGAAGAGGGTCTGTTCTTCTGGGGTGTCCGGGTGTATCCTCAGGTCCAAGATAATTTCATTTATGCTTTTTGTTCGCGTCACAAATGTCTTTTTGAAGCCCTCAATGCCATATCGCTGCAGCAGGACAAAAAGACAAAATAAATATAATAAATAAATAAATAAAATGCTGCTGCCGCTGCTGCTTTTGCTGCTGCTGCTGCTGCGCTTGCTGCTGCAGCCTCGGACGCGCCCGCTGCAGCTGCTGCTGGTTCTGCCACCCCTCGCGCTGGTCCTTGCGCCACTGCTGCTGCTGCTGTAGCTGCTGCTGCTGCAACCGCTTCTGCTGCTGCTGCTGCTGCTGCTGCTGCTGCTGCTGCTGCTGCTGCTGCTGCTGCTGCTGCTGCGCACCATTTTGTTGAAAACTTGCGACTTAGTTCGGTATCTGTCGAAGCCTCTGCCGATGCGGCTCTCAACGCCCATACTGAAGTAGTTGCTCATGGTGAAGGAAAGTTCCTTCACGGGCTCCCCCTCAGCTTCCACCACTTCCTGCAGCAGCAGCAGCAGCAGCAGCAGCAGCAGCAGCAGCGGCAGCGGCAGCGGCAGCAGCAGTAAGAGCGGCATTGAAAGCAGCAATGCTCTCACAGCGGTCTTTGTCTGGGACTTTGTTCACTACAGCAAGCTGCTGGCTGCTGGCTTCCCCGCTTGCTTCATACGCTCAGCTGCTGCTACTGCTGCTGCTGCTGCTGCGGCTGCTGCTGCTGCTGCTGCTGCTGAAGACGCTCAGCCAGTGCCCTTGTTGGCCTTCAGCAGCAACGCCTCAGGGCTTAGACATCAGAGCTGTGTGTGGCTGCTTGCATTGCTGCCCGGTTGCTACTCTTACTGCTACTACAGTGACTGCTCGTGCTGCTGCTGCTGCTGCTGCTGCTGCTGCTGCTGCTGCTGCTGCTGCTGCTGCTGGTCTTGCCTTTTTTCTTGTAGTTGAATTGATTCTGTTGAAATGTCCTCCTGGCTTCAAAGTGACTTTGACAGACCAAAGGTCATGATACACCACAGTGGCGCGCATGCAGTGCTCCACTATGTTCCGGAGGCTGCAAAATGAGACACACCCTAAACCCTAAACCCTAAACCCTAAACCCTAAACCCTAGCCCCTAGTTCTAGACCCTAAGCGCTAGGCCTCAAAGGCCTGCGGATGCTGTTGGCGGCTTTGCTGCTGCTTCACCGCCGCTTCATTTGCTGCTGCTGCTGCAGCGGCCCGTCAGTATTTGCAAAAGGCATTTAAAAAGATAAAAAGAAAATAAAAATAAAAATAAAAAAGAAATAAATTTAAAAAGATAATTATCAGCTCACGTGTGCAAAGACGCGTCAAAGGGATTCGCCGCGTTAAACGGCCGCCAGCCAAAAGCATTCGCAAAGTCGTTTCCTGTTGCGCCCCCCACAATCAAAACCCTAAACCCTAAACCCTAAACCCTAAACCCTAAACCCTAAACCCTAAGCCCTCCTAGTCCCTGAACCCTGAACCGCAAACCCTTCAAGTCCCACACTCCAGACCCCAAACCCTAAACCCGAACCCCCACCCCCACGCCCTGAGCTTCACCCGGCCCCAAACCCCAAACCCTAAACCCTAAACCCTAAACCCTAAACCCTAAACCCTACCTGTGCCGTAGGGCACCACCCCCACGGCGCAGACGTGGGGCTGGACTCCAGTTTTGTGCATTTCGTCAATACACCACATGACAGTGCCATCTCCGCCAGCAACAAGGACTCTAACAATTGGCTGTTGAGTTTTTTTGCTGCTGCTGCTGCTGCTGCTGCTGTTTGCTGCCGCCCGCGGCTCCCCCGCTGCTGCTGCTGCTGCTGCAGCAGCAGCCACCGACCGCAGCAGCAGGAAACCCGGCTTGCTGCCGCTCGGGCCCTCCCGAATGTCGTGTATGAACACCTTCAAAGGACACGGCTCTGTCAGTGTCAGCTGCGACACTGCTGTCTGCAGCAAAACAAACCCCACAGCAGCAGCAGCAGCAGCTGCGTGCTGCTGTTTGCTGCTCTCTCGCAGCACGGGAATGCAGCAGCTGCAGCAGCAGCAGCAGCAGCAGCAGCAGGTGATGCCCAAAACTCGAAGAAGCCAGGCGCCGGAGGCAAAGAGCCGAAACACGCGGAAATGAAACGGCAACCAGAGCAGCAGCAACAGCAGCAGCAACAGCAGCAGCAACAGCAGCAGCAGCAGCTGCAGCAAATGAATGTATTCAGCTGCCAGCAGAAACAGAAGAGCTGTGCAGCCGCTTGCTGCAGCACGCAAAGCCATTGCTACAAATAAAAAAAAGAAAAGTCAAAAGTGTTAATTAAATAAACAATAAAAATAAAAAAGAAAATCTTGCTGAAAAAGAATGAAAAGAATGAAGAAAAATTAGTCAGACACAGAGAGGCAGCACTTTGCTGCAGCAGCAGCAGCAGCAAATGCATGCAACAGGACACGAGCAGCAAGCCGCTGCAGCAGCAAAAGGAAAGCAGCAGAAAGCAGCAGCTAAAAGCTGGGATGAAGCAGCAAACGGACTGCAGCAGCAAAAGAGAGCGAAGAACTGCAGCAGCAAAGGCAGCAAGGCGCTGCAGCAGCAAAGGCAGCAAGGCGCAGCAGCAGCAAAGGCAGCAAGGTGCTGCAGCAGCAAAGGCAATAAGGTGCTGCAGCAGCAAAGGCACCAAGGCACTGCAGCAGCAAAGGCAGCAAGGCACTGCAGCAGCAAAGGCAGCAAGGTGCTGCAGCAGCAAAGGCAGCAAGGCGCTGCAGCAGCAAAGGCAGCAAGGCGCAGCAGCAGCAAAGGCAGCAAGGCGCTGCAGCAGCCAATAGAATGGACCAAACGGCGAAAGGAAGCAGGGGAATAGAGGAAGACCCGCAGCAGCAGCAGCAGCAGCAGCAGCAGCAGCAGCAGCAGCAGAAGCAGCAGCAGCAGCAGCAGACCAAAAGAAACACAGGAGCCAAAGGAGAAAAGGAAAAGACAAAAAGCGAACAAAACAGAAACGGAAACCCTAAAAAAGGGTTTAGGAAATAAAGAAATAATTAAAAAAGAAATTAAAATAAAAGAAATTAAAAAGAATTAAAGTCCTCACTCGAGTAAATGCTGAGGCCTTGTTGCCGCCACTTGTGGGGTTTGTGAAAATGAAAACATATTCGAAAGCAGCAGGGCCTCCATTTGCTGCTGCTTCGAGATCAGCAATTGCTGCTGCTACATCTCGTGCTGCTGCTGAGTCTGCTTCTGCTGCTGCTGCTGCTGCCTGCGCAGCGTCCCCTGCTGCTGCTGCTGCTGCTGCGGTGGCTGCCAGCGCCCGCTTCGCCGTCGCTGCTGCTGCTGCTGCTGTTTGTGCTGCTGCTTGGGCTCCCGGTGCTGCTGCTGGCGCTGCTGCTGGCGCTGCTGCTGGCGCTGCTGCTGGCGCTGCTGCTGCTGCTGCTGGCGCTGCTGCTGCTGCTGCGGGCTTAGCAGCAGCATCCTCATCCAGTGCAGCAGCAGCAGCAGCAACAGTATCTGAAGGAGCTCTAATCCAAGAAGCATCAGCAGAAAAGCAGGACTCTTGCATGCGGCCCCCAGGGTACCCTCGGGGCTCCCCCCGCAGGAGGGCCCCCAGGGCCCCGGGGGCCCCCAGCCGGCTAGGGGCCCCCGGGGCCCCTTGAGACCCGGGGGGCCCCAGGGCCTCTGGGGCCCCGGGGCCCCCGGGGGCCCCCGGGCCCTCCGAAGACCCTTCGGGGCCCCTCAAGGGCTCCGGGGCCTCCGGGGGGCCCCCCCTAGCTGGGGGCCCCCGGGCCGAGGGGCCCCTGGAGTCCTCTTCATTGGCCGGCTGGGCAGCAGCAAAAAGCTTTGCTGCAGTTGGCTGCGAAGATGTGCGCTCGGGGAGGCCCGGGGGGCCCCGGGGGCCCCTCTCGGGGGGCAGCATGGCGGGGGGGGGGGCCCCCCATTCAGCTGGAGAGGGTCAAGGGCCCTAGGGAGAAGTGGGGGCCCCTCGGCAAAGACTGGGGGGAGAGGGGGCCCCCATAACCCAGCAGCAGTGGCGGGGAAGAGCTGCTGGCTGGACTCGACTTTGCTGCTGCTGCTGCAGCGGGAGCCCCGCCGGCGCTGCTGCGCTGCTGCGCTGCTGCTGCTGCGCTGCTGCTGCTGCGCTGCTGCACCTGCTGGCAGCAAACTGCAGGGGCCCCAGCCCCACCCTCTGCCCCGCCGCTGCAGAGGCCCGAGTTCACAGCCAGCTGCTGCTGCGCTGCTGCTAGAGGCCTAGTTGCCGAGGAAGCAGCGGCGAAACGGCGGGTCGCCGTTGTGCTGCTGCTGCTGCTGCTGCTGCTGCTGCTGCAGGCTGCTGCTGCGGGCGAAGAAGACCCGCCAGCACGCGGCCAATTCAGCCTGGCCAAGATAGAATGAGAAGGTTAAGACGAATAGAAGCAACTAAAGAGCTGGTGTGGGGGGCTGAAGGCAAGGCTGTCGCGGGGTTAGGGGGAGTCGCGTTTCTGTGCGCTGGCAGACCAGCACGGACAGCAGGCAGGCTCATCTGCTGCTTCTTCCCGCTCTTTTGGAGTTATTTCAAATCTAAGAAGACCCCTCGAGGCTGCTGCATGCAGATTAAGGGCTTTTTGCGCGCAGAGTTGGCCTCAAATGCGCAGAAACCGACCACAGGTGCACGTGAGGAACCCTACCCAAGTTCGCCTGGCGACGCGCGGGAGCCTCTCAGCTCCTTCAGCCGCTGGAATCTCCTTCTTTGACACGAAAATAAAGAGAAAGGCATTCATGACTTCTCAAATAAGCTGCTTAGCGCGGCAACTTGTGCTCAGAAAGCTCCGCTGAACCGCCTGCATGCGGCGATCACGCTAGAACCCGGCCACACGATCTGCGACTCTCTTCTCCGCCGAAGCTGCTTTCCAATATCAATTTAATAATTCTTTTTACCTTTAATTCCTTTATTTCTGCACTACTAATGCACCAAAGACGCGTTTAGATCCCGCCTGAGATGCTGCGCGCGGGCTGGTTCCTGAGCGGGAAAGCGACTGTTCAAAAAACCCCTTACGCGCAGCAAAATCGGAACTTGTGGTTTTTTTCAAGTTTTTTCTTCTTTTCTGCTGCTTTTCTTTGCCATTTCAGTCCTTGTTGGCCTTCTTTTTCGCCTAAGTGCCCCTTTTGTTCATTTTTACTTCACTTCTTTTGGTGCTTTCCCCCCAAACTGCGCCTTTAACCCCTCTATCCCCCTTTAATACCCTTTTCAAGTCAACTCGGAGCATTCAGATTCGCAGTTCAGCCACTTGTTTTTCACGCTGAGACAAAAGTTGCTCTGCCAGCGACTGGAAAGCTGCACTAACCTCGAAAGTCTTTTGCCTTGACTTCCCTTCCAAGGAACTTAAAGGGTTTAAATACTATTTCCCAGACTTGCAGCAAAAAAAGAACAAGTCCGGGGTGCCTGGGGCCCCTGGGCTAGCTACAGCCAGCTAGCTGCAGCTAGCTCAGCACAGCTAGCTCCAGGAAAAGCCTCTTGAACTCCTATTAGTTTGTCTTTTGAGTTTTATTTAAAACTTGAAAAGAGTCTCAAGACAAGATCGCCGGCATTTGCAGTTAATAGAAAGCACTAATCTTGCATGCGCATGCAAGATTAGTGCTTTCTGCACGAGAAGATCTTTTTTTGCACAAATAGTTTGGGTCTTTGCTCGTTTCATTTGCACTACTTGTGCGCATTTTTTCTTGTTTAAAAATATTTTAAATATATTTTTTCAAATCAATTCCGAAAGCTGCAAAGAGAATTGAAAATGCCTTCTCTTTCGCGTCAGTTCCAAATTCACATTTCCTGTTTCAACTGCGCGCAGCAAGTGAATGGCTGAGCCATCTTGCTGCAGCTGCTGCTTGTTACTTTTCAGTGTGCAGTTTCATTTATTACTTTTTAATTAAAATAAATTGAAGATTCTGGAGAAGTCCTCTTTCTTGAGTCCGCTGTGGCTTCGTTTCGTGGCTGCAGAAAGCTTTTCTGCACAGCTCTTTTCTGTGCAGCCTCAGACGGCCAGGGAACAAAATAATCTCGAAGATAAGTTTTAATTAATGCAACTCATCCCTGTAGCCGCAGGTGAAACTGATTTGCTTCACCGTGGCAGCAGCAGCAGCTGCTGCTGCTGCTGCTGCTGCTGCAGCTGCTTGTTTGGGCGGTTCTTGAAGCAGCTCTGTTCCCCTGCGCTGCAGCGGGAAAGGAAGCTCTTTGGCGTTCTTTAAGAGCTTAAATGATAATAGTACTTTAAACTCCCCCGTTAAAGCTCTGTCTTTCCATTTCTTGTGGAATTCTTTGCCTCTTTGGCGCCAAATGGTGCGGAAATGGGAAGACGCGGCGCAGGCTGCGAATCTGCTGCCTGCTGCTGCACGAAAAGTCGTGCACAACTCGCACAGTGCTCTATGGGCTTTCGCCTCCTCTAAAAGTAAAATAGAAGTCTGGACTTTGCGCGGGGCGGGTCAATAGAGGAGAACTTGAACGCGCGGCGCAGCAGCCGCTAGCTGCTGCATGTGGCCTGGGAATGCGGGACGCGAAGGACTCTTCCGCGATTATTGGAGGCTAAAGTGTCTTCATTAAACATTTAATTCAATTGAATTGAAAAATAAAAAGAATTCGCAGCTCGTTGCCCCCGCGGCAGCGGCGGGGCCCCAGCCTTCGCGCCCGCAGCGTTCGGCCGTGGGGCCCCCGCCTGCGTCCGCTCTGCAGCACAGAAGTTCCTTTTCGCTTCCCTTTTTCTTTCTCTTTTGTTTGCAGCATTTATTTGAACTGAATTTGCAAGTAGAAGTGCCCAGGGGCCGCTGCCTGGGGGCCGGCGAAGGCACTGTCTGGCGCCCGGCGCCGCGGAGCCCAAGTGCACTTTCCGGCTCTTTTTGCTGCTCTTTTGCCCCCCCGCCCCTCCCCCGCAGCTCTGCAGCTTTCTTTTATTTTTAGCAGCACAAATACTTCGAAGAAGGGCCCTGTCTGTTTCTCCAGTGCTGCTTTCGTGCTGCAGCGCAGCCCCGGCGGGGCCCCTCTGCTGCGCCCGCCCAGCCCGCCGCCTCCGCAGCCCCGGGGGCCCCTCCGCGCCTGCAGCCAGGGGCCCCCGCCCCTCGCCCGCAGCAGGGGGCCCCCTGCAGCAAACAGCGCCAGCAGCAGCAGCAGCGCAGCACGAAAGGGGGTCGCAGCAGCCTGCTGCTCTCCTCCAGCTCCCCAGGGGGGCCCCCCAGTATCATGGGGGAGGGGCCCCCGGGGCCCTCAGTGCTGTCTGGCTCTGATCAGGGGCCCGGGGGTGCTGCGCAGTCCCAGGAGTTGTGCCCCCCTTCGCCCTCGCATTTGCAGCCTGCTGCGCCCGCTGCAGCAGCAGCAGCTGCAGCAGCAGCAGCTGCAGCAGCAGCAGCAGCAGCAGCAGCAGCGAGTCCCGCTGGCGACAGAAGCAGCGGCGAGAGCCTTGCTGCTCCAGCAGCAGCAGCAGCAGCAGCAGCAGCCACTGCCGCCGTGGAGCCGCTAGCCTCGCCTCAAGAGCCCAGGGGGGCCCCCAAGGGCCCCCAAAGCAATGGGGGGGCCCCCAGCCCTCGTGGCTCTCTGGGGGCCCCCGCAGGCCCACAGCTTCCTGGCCCCGGCCACACACTGCAGGAATCCAGCGATGAACAGCAGCAGCAGCAGCAGCAGCAGCAGCAGCAGCAGCAGCAAAGAGGGAATACGGCTGCAGAGGGAAAGTGCGGACGGCAGGACGGCTCCAAAGACGGAATAAAGAGCCGACGGCGAAGTAGAGGGCAGCAGCTCAAACTGCAGCAGGAAAGCCAGAAGCAGCAGCAGCAGCAGCAGCAGCAGCAGCAGCAGCAGCAGCAGCAGCCGGTAAGCGCAGGTGAAGAAGCAGCAGGCCATTTATTGACGCAGGAGGCGGAGGGCCAGAATTGCCAGCAGCCTCAGACCCACGAGGCACAAGAAGAGCAGCAGCAGCAGCAGCAGCTGCTGCTGCTGCTACAGCAGCAACACCATGCTGCCCAGCAAGGGCAGCAGCGTGGAGGTTCGCAGCCGCAGAAGCACCAATTGCAGCAGCAGCAGCAGCAGCAGCAGCGGCAGCAGCAGCAGCACAAAGATGCCCCTCAGGAGCAGCTTGCGGAGGTAGCAGGCACCGGCAGAGACAGGCCGGGTGCTGCAGCAGGAAGCAGTGATGCAGGAGCAGCAGCAGCTGGTGCTGTTGCTGCAAATCCGGCTGGTGCTGCTGCTGCTGCTGCTGCTGCTGATTCTCCTGCTGCTGCTGACGCTGCTGGTGAAGTGGCTGGTGCAGCAAAATCAGCCCGTGAGGCAGCAGCAGCAGAAAGCCGCAGAGACTTTATGTCGCTGCCTAGTTTGCCAGCTGGCGAGAGACCCGTGACCAGCAGCAGCAGCAGCAGCGGCAGCAGCAGCAGCGGCAGCAACAGCAGCAGCAGCAGCAGCACCAGCAGCAGCAGCAGCTCGGGCCTCAGTACATTTCGGCACCCCTGGCGAATCCCTTCATCGGAAACATCGTCGCAGCTCTTGTCGCAGCAGCGGCAGCTGTACCATCCGCAGCAGCAGGAACGGCAGCGGCAGCAGCAGCAGCAGCAGCAGCAACAGCAGCAGCAGCAGCAGCAGCAAGGGTGTTCCCGCACAGCAACGCACGCAGCCCACAGCGCAGCTCACCGGTCCGCTGCTGGGCTTCGGTGCAGTAGGGGTGCGGCCGCAAGCCCCGCAGCCGCAGCAGCAGCTGCTGCTCCCGCAGCAGCAGCAGCAGCAGCAGCAGCAGCAGCTGGCAGCAGCCGGCTGGACTCGCTGTCTTCCTCGGAGCTGCCCCCAAACCCCAGACACCGCAATCTGCTGCTGACGGATCCGCTGCTGCTGCGGCAGCAAGCGCTGCAGGAGTTGGAGAGACACGGGCGCATTCCCCCGGTGACAGCCTGCAGCAAGCTGCCTTTTCCCTACCTGAACGCAGCAGCAGCAGCAGCAGCAGCAGCAGCAGCAGCAGCAGCGGACGCCGCGGCAGCGCGCGGCGCCAGGGACTCCCAGAGGAGGCGCAGCAGCAGCAGCGCAGCCAGCAGCAGCAACGCCCCCGCCGACGCAGCAGCAGCGCCCGCGAAGCCCAAGGGAATCTTCGGTTGGCTGCGGAGCCTTCTGCAGCTAGATAGCAGCAGCAGCAGCAGCAGCAGCAGCAGCAGCAGCAGCAGCAGCAGCAGCGCGCAGAAAGCTAAGAGGCCCCCTGCCGAGCCGGCTTCTCCCCCCAGCGAGGCCATCGAGCCCAGCCGAGACCCCGCGCTCCCGCATCCCTCCAGCAGCAGCAGCAGCAGCAGCAGCAGCAGCAGCAGCAGCAGCAC